TCTCCTTCATCACTTTAAATATGTCCTGCCAGTCCCTTGTGCCTTGCACAGTTTCTGCTGAAAGATCAGCTGTTAATCTTATGGGGACTCCCTTGTGTGTTATTTGTTGTTTTTCCCTTGCTGCTTTTAATAGTTTTCTGTGTAGTTAATTTGTTTTTTACATCTTTATTGGAGTATAATTGCTTTACAGTGGTGTGTTAGTTTCTGCTTTATAACAAAGTGAATCATTTATACGTATACATATGTTCCCATATCTCTTCCCTCTTGCGTCTCCCTCCCTCCCACCCTCCCTATCCCACCCCTCCAGGCGGACACAAAGCACTGAGCTGATCTCTGTGCTATGCAGCTGCTTCCCACTAGCTATCTACCTTATGTTTGGTAGTGTATATATGTCCATGCCTCTCTCTCACTTTGTCACAGCTTACCCTTCCCCCTCCCCATATCCTCAAGTCCATTCTCTAGTAGGTCTGTGTCTTTATTCCTGTCTTACTGCTAGGTTCTTCATGATATTTCTTTTTTCTTAAATTCCATATATATGTGTTAGCATACGGTATTTGTCTTTCTCTTTCTGACTTACCTCACTCTGCACGACAGACTCTAGGTCTATCCACCTCATTACAAATAGCTCAATTTCGTTTCTTTTTATGGGTGAGTAATATTCCATTGTATCTATGTGCCACATCTTCTTTATCCATTCATCCAATGATGGACACTTAGGTTGTTTCCATCTCTGGGCTATTGTAAATAGAGCTGCAGTTAACATTGTGGTACATGACTCTTTTTGAATTATGGTTTTCTCAGGGTATATGCCCAGGAGTGGGATTGCTGGGTCATATGGTAGTTCTATTTGTAGTTTTTTAAGGAACCTCCATACTGTTCTCCATAGTGGCTGTACCAATTCACATTCCCACCAGCAGTGCAAGAGGCTTTCCTTTTCTCCACACCCTCTGCAGCGTTTATTGTTTCTAGATTTTTTGATGATGGCCATTCTGACTGGTGTGAGAGGATATCTCATTGTAGTTTTGATTTGCATTTCTCTAATGATTAATGATGTTGAGCATTCTTTCATGTGTTTGTTGGCAGTCTGTATATGTTCTTTGGAGAAATGTCTATTTAGGTCTTCTGCCCATTTTTGGACTGGGTTGTTTGTTTTTTTGTTATTGAGCTGCATGAGCTGCTTGTAAGTTTTGGAAATTAATCCTTTGTCAGTTGCTTCATTTGCAAATATTTTCTCCCATTCTGAGGGTTGTCTTTTGGTCTTGTTTATGGTTTCCTTTGCTGTGCAAAAGCTTTGAAGTTTCATTAGGTCCCATTTGTTTATTTTTGTTTTTATTTCCATTTCTCTAGGAAGTGGGTCAAAAAGGATCTTTCTGTGATGTATGTCATAGAGTGTTCTGCCTATGTTTTCCTCTAAGAGTTTGATAGTTTCTGGCCTTACATTTAGGTCTTTAATCCATTTTGAGCTTATTTTTGTGTATGGTGTTAGGGTGTGATCTAATCTCATACTTTTTACATGTACCTGTCCAGTTTTCCCAGCACCACTTATTGAAGAGGCTGTCCTTTCTCCACTGTACATTCCTGCCTACTTTATCAAAGATAAGGTGACCATATGTGCGTGGGTTTATCTCTGGCCTTTCTATCCTGTTCCATTGATCTATCTTTCTGTTTTTGTGCCAGTACCTTACTGTCTTGATTACTGTAGCTTTGTAGTATAGTCTGAAGTCAGGGAGCCTGATTCCTCCAGCCCGAGCCTCAGCTCCCAGCCCCGCCCACCCCGGCGGGTGAGCAGACAAGCCTCTTGGGCTGGTGAGTGCCGGTCGGCACCGATCCTCTGTGCGGGAATCTCCCCGCTTTGCCCTCCACACCCGTTTGCTGTGGTCTCCTCCACGGCTCCAAAGCTCCCCCCTCTGCCTCCCACAGTCTCCACCCGCGATGGGGCTTCCTAGTGTGTGGAAACCTTTCCTCCTTCACGGCTCCCTCCCACTGGTGCAGGTCCCGTCCCTATCCTTTTGTCTCTGTTTATTCTTTTTTCTTTTGCCCTACCCAGGTACGTGGGGAGTTTCTTGCCTTTTGGGAGGTCTGAGGTCTTCTGCCAGCATTCAGTAGGTGTTCTGTAGGAGTTGTTCCACGTGTAGATGTATTTCTGATGTATCTGTGGGGAGGAAGGTGATCTCCATGTCTTACTCTTCCGCCATCTTCCAAAAGTTTATATTTTTAAGGGATCAAATCTTTCAGTTGCTTTGTGACTTCTTCTGTATAAACTTAAAAAGTTACTGTCTTCCAGAGTTTTACTGACTAGTTAATTCTGTATTCTTTTCATTTTCTATCATTTCATCAAAGAGTTCTTTGTCTAAAACTCATTTTGGTGTATGGTGTCTTAATTGTCTTAGCTTTGGAACAGATTAAAATCTGGAAGAGCTACTCATCCCTCCTTGACTCTTTTCCCTAGTATTTCCTTTAATTAAAATTAAAATTAGGAAAAAAAAACCCCACTGTTTATTCTTCTAGATGAATAGTCATTTTGTAAAGGTCCAACATTTTTGTTTGGATTTTGATTTGGTGCTGTATTAAATTTCCACCTTAATTTGGAAAACAATGATGCCATTAAAATACTTAGCTTTTCCACCCAGAAACATTTCTCTGTTTATCCAAGTCTTTTACATTCTCGGTGCATGTTTGAGGTCTTTTCATATAAATCCCATGGATTTTGTTGGTTTTTAAAAACCGTTTGCAGTGGAGAATGGCGTCTACTTTTACCATTAAATTTTTCTAACTTTATTGCTAATATATAAGAATAGCATTGAGTGATTTTGTACCTGCTTCTTATTAACTTGAATGGATCGCCAGTTGTTCTCATTGGTACTTCAAGATATATGACGATATGATTAGCAAATATGCACAATTTTGTCTCATCTTTTCCAACGCTGATACTTCTTTGCTCTGTTTCTGGGTGGTGCTTTAAAAACAATATTAAATAATCATGGCAGGAGGAGAATATTTTAGTATGTGTGTTTAGTATGTGTTTCGTATGCGCCCCCTCACTGTATTAAAAATACAGATATATAGAGGTATATTTCCTTGGAAAAATACTAGCCTGGCAGAGATACACAGAAGTGTTTATAGCAGTTGTCTCCAAGTGGCAGAATCTGCTTGAATGTCTCCTTTTTGTTTTATCCATATTTTCTAATCATTCTATGAAGATCATGTGTTATTTAGATAATTTAAAAGATAATGGCAATTGTAATGCCTTTGTTGTGTCACCTTTGGGTGGATTATGTTGGCTGTGGGTTGAAATTGCTGTTTATCTGCTGAGGATATTTTCTATCTTATTTGTAAGAGTTTTTGTTTTTAAACTAGAAGTGGGGGCTGAATTTTGTGAAATGTTTTTTTGGCAGCTGTGAAGGCGATCGTATGATTTTTCTCTTTTCTTTTTTGAAACTGAGGTATATTTTACATACAGTAGAATGCACAGATCCTAGGTTCGACGTGTCTGGCACATACCCATGTAACCACCACCCCAAGTAAGAAATAGAACATTTCCACCACCCTAGAAAGTTCTAGGGGAAATCCTGTGGTAAGCTGTTGATTTGTGTGGGACCAACCTGTGAGTGGGCTCGATTTCCCCATCTCCAGCCTCAGTTTAACATCTCGAGGGCCTGGAGCTTTGTCTCCCCCTCTCCTGAGACGTGAAGAGGGAACAGCAGACGCTTGAAGCGTTTAATGATCTAGCCTAAGAATGAGTCTCTGGCCAAACCGTTTCTGGGCACCACTCACTGAAATGTGAGGGTGGGGGAGGAGCGTGGAGAGCAGGCCAGCGGGTGCAGGATGCTCGGCACCGCCTTGACCATGGGGTTTCACAGCAGGCCCTGTGGCCTGTGTGTTCATTCCTGGAGAAAGTCAGACGCTACCTTGGGTTACTAGCTGCACTATTGCATTGTCCTTTAAGGGGGCTTGGTACTCTCAGGGTACTCAAGGTCACTACTCTCGGTGACCTTGAACTCATGGTCACTGTCTACTACCCTGTACCAATATCGCTGCGTTCTTGTTGCAGATTCCCAGGCTCTGCTGCAGCAGGTCACGGAATGATACCAAGTGTTATTTATTCAGCTTATTACTGTAAAGTGGGAAAAATATAGAAATACATGTTTCTAGTCATTTCCAGTGACATGTTGGATGTGTCTTCAATGCCCTGAAGTGCAGAAAATAAGCTTAATGGTAGCATTATGCTTTCGGTTGTCTGTACATCTAGGGTAAGAAGTCTGCAGAAAGATGACTTGGGATTCCCTGAATCAGAAGGCCAGAGGCTCAATTTCTTGTGTCTGAATGTGACCTAAACTCTTCTATGTATTTTTGATAGGGTGAGGTTTACTTGACTAAAGTAAATAATCGCTCCTGTTTATGTTTCCTTAATATGCATCTTCTTAAAGTGAGCAGTTAGAGAAAAAAAAATGGGGTGAGCCGTGCGAGCACATTCAGGCTGGGGTATTTCTAGGGGTGTCGGCACTGGACACATGCAACTGTGGGTTTATGAAGCCACCATGGTTCTGTATTTGGGCAGAGCCTGGGCCCAGGGCCGGGAAGGAAGTGTGTAAACTAGGTCACTGAGGCACGCGAGGGGCGACGTCTCAGACCACAGACCAGAGGCCAAAGCCAATCACCCAACACTAAGGGCAGCAGCCTTCCTCCTGAGGCTTTCTATGCAAATGGCAAGCAAGGGACAGCCTTTCCATGCTGGGTGCCTACACCACTCAAATCAATTTGGATGTCTGTTCCCAGGAGCTGTCAAACTTGGATTTTTTTTTAAAAAAACTGAAGCTATTTAAAATCTGCATCCAAATGCAAGTAGTTGAGCTTGAACTGCTTTCAGAATGCAATCTGGACAGCCAGGCTGACGACCTGGGCTGCCAGGGTGGACACTGGAGCCGGGAAGTGATCCTCCGGTGGTTTGTTCCCAAGCTGTTTGGCCTGCAATCTGAGGAGACAACTACCTTTTCGTGTTTTATACATTTTATTCATACATTTCTCCAACTTTGAAATGACAAAAGCCCAATTCTATGGTTTCCCATTACACAGCATCCTACAGGTATGTATATTCTACAAAGAATACTATGGAGTTTCTCTTCCTCCCCTGGCACACGAGAGATAACTGATTAGGGTTCTGTCGACTTGTCCTGTACCGGCAGTGCACCAGCGTTCTGGTTGATCTGGCGACAGGGCAAAGGGATCAGGGTGGGAGGGCGTGTGCTAAGGCATGTAAATAGATACACACAGAGAGAAAGAAAAGCGGGGCATTTACAAAGAATCCGAAACTTTCCGATCCCCTCACCTCCTGGGTGTCAGAGGATACCTCCTGCACAAACGCTCTTGCACGCTAAGGCTTCGCTGTACCCTTCAAATACTTACAATTGGATACGGTGAAATATACAACTGTTAACATCGCTCTCTTTTTATCACTGAGACAATACTTCAAAACCTTTTATAAAAAGGCAATTATACATACAGAAAAAAACAAACAAAAACACATTGGCAAAACTTTATGCAAAACAACCCCAGAACTGAGCTTGAACGGCGACGCATCTGCCTGGCAATTAAACATGATGCTGTGGCCTCCACACGTGAGGATCGTGTGGCCTTCGCATCAGCCCCGGGGCCTGCTGCCCCCATAGCCTCCCACCGCCTGCACGGGCGCCATCCAGGGACACAGCAGAGACCGAAAATCGATTTCTCCAATTCTTGGTCTCTTGAAAATGAAAATAATAGCTGGGGCCACACACTGTGGGGGAACACCTATTTCTACCCCCAAGCAGAACTCCTTTGAAGAGACTGCATGGCCTCTGGGTCCCAAGATGGTCACCCCCAGGGCTCTATTGGCGAGACCACTGGCACGTTCCTTTGGTCACGTGCGGGAGAGAAGGGAAGGAACACAGAAATGGCAGTGAAGCTCCAAGTTTCTGCGCATACATAGATAGCGAATTGTGCTTGGGGCCAGAAACGAGGTCTCCTGTGCCAAACACCTCTTCCCAATTTCTTTTGCTCGGTCCATTTGCACAGGGTCAAGAGAGTTGATGGTTAGTGAGGGGTGGTGGGAGCTCTGGATTTTCTATCTTCCCCCATGAAGAGATAAGACTTGGCAATGCCTGGCCTAGAGATGGTGCGGCCTTCCTCCTTCTATGGGCCAGGTCTGCCCACCTTCTGCAGCCCAAGAGTAGCAGAGAAAAGACCAGATAAAGGGATGTGGACTGGTGAACATACTCTTTTTGTCCCTTTCTCCCACTTCCTGGACGCATGTCACACCTACACTTCACTCACTAAGCTGGAAGACCTGAGACTCCCAATAGCTCCAAGTTTAAGGCAAACTGATAACTGGGTGTGGGCAAAGCCAACCAAGCCTTGAGCCTTACAGGCAACGTCCTGTAACTGAAGACACCAAATGTAGAGGAAGACCTTACTTCTAAAGGGGTAAAAAGTGGGAAATTTCTACCAAATGAAACGATTTATGAGTCAAGCTTGTAGCCCCTCTGTAAGCTGCAGTGAGAAGCAAAAGAGCTTTCTAAGAGGAGAATTAATCAGAGGCACAGAACAAGAGAAAGAATGCTCGGGGACCTTGGTATCATAACCCCTTGTAAAGAGGATGGAATTAGGAGGCTGTGTCCAGTTCTGGAAAAACAAGCCCCTCCCCCCCAACACACACATACACACACACACACGTGCGCGCGCACGCACACACACCAGTTTGATGATAGGAAATAAGCAGGAGGGGTGAGGATGAGAAGGGGCTTGTTTGGAATGCTGATTGCAAGTTGCCTTCTCCTCTTTCCAAGGAGACAGCGTGGGAGGTGTTAAAATTAAGAATTTATTAATCAAGAAATGTTCTTGCTAGCTTTAGTGGCACGTTCTCTTTGCCCCAAGAGATTGACCTGAAATGAAGAAAAGGATATCAGTGGGAGACAAGAGCGTTTGTTTTGGGCTGCCTGTCCTTAAGGGGCAGTGTCCACGCTGGGCATCTCCACCTCTGTTTCCCCAAGGGTGGCTCAACTGACTACACTTTTTCAAGGAATGAACTCAAAGCCTTAACGAACAGATTAACTACAAGTGATTTAAAAACAAACCAAAAAACCTCATCTGCAGTAATGAGATCAAAGGTTTTAAAAAAATAACTGTAGCATGGAGGCCAGGCCTGGCGGGCTGGCCCCAGCGGTGGGAGATGGAATGGACCCCGGGGAAGGGAGCATGTGCTGACCCTTTTGTGCGGTGAGGGCTTTGCAGCATCTTCTGACATCCCACTACCAATGGGACGGGCTCAGAAGATGCCTTCTGAATGCAAATTGCAAGAAGTAGGTCACCCATTTCTTTTCCTCTCTGAGCAAATATTTTAAACCATCTCACTTGACAGGAGTTACACTTAATTGCATTTAAAAAAGCTACCATATTATCTTGACACTGGGAAGCTTCCTGAATTAAATTGACATTTTCCTTTTTAGTGTTAGAATGGAACATGCTGCGTGTGCAAAGTAATTAACCGTTTTATGATTAGAAGTTCAGGACATTCTTTTTAATAGATAATTTGACATATGAAAAACACCCCATTTCTTGCTGCGGGCAATGGGGTTGGAAAGAGAGCCCTTAGAACATGGCTCAATTGATCAGTGCTAAGATTTAATAATCTAATCATTCGCTCTGTTCTTTTAAAGGAAAAAAATGATTTTGTTGATGGAATGGAAACAGTAAAGCAGCTTTTTAGCAATTTTCTGATTGCTTAGTGGACAACTGTAATGGAGGCGCAGCAGCAATGTACCGAAATTACTCTGGATTCAGAAATTTAAGTATTTTCTGCTAGGTCAAAAAGACACTGCTTGAGAGAAGACGTGTATTAGTGGAAGGGAACAGACGACCTCTGAGAAGTTAGAATGAGTTCTGGGTGCAGGAATTTTGCCACCCGCACAATGGTGAGAATGCCACCTGTCTGTGTGCTTCTCTGAGGACTCATAAAGTGTTGGAGGAGAGAGGATGAGTGCTACAGTGCTTCTCAATCCTGGGGCCAGACATTTACACTGGCATTGCTTTTCTCTTCCTCTGCATGACCCACCTTCATCAGCATGGTGGGTGGCTTAAGACAGGCATCGTCGAGCATCTCTGGAGATTTGGTCTCAGAGGACAAGTGGGGTTTCTACCAGAGGGAGGGAGCTTCTGTTCTCAGGTGTTAGTTGTATTCTTCTTTGTGCTTCACTGGAAAAGAGGTAGAGCGGGCAGTTTCACACTGAGAAGAGCCCGGATTGTGACCAGTACCATCACGGGAATGACTGCCTGGCCTTGGCATCAGGTAGATTTAAATCAGTCCTAACACAGCCCTAATCAGCTCTTGGGGTTTCTCCCTCCATCCACGGTGTCTCTGGTTTGGTGGTTTGGTCACCCTGCTGTGGGTCCCAACAGAAGCAGTTTACTCAGCACTTTGTAAGTTGTATACTCATCTGGTTACCCACAAAGGACAACATCAGAGAAAAAATCAGCATTGTTTAATAAGAGTAGGTGGGAGGGGAGGGTGACACCCTAAAAAGAGTATACAAATGCATTCTCGGCGTGGTCCTTCATAGAGGAGCTGTTCCGCTCAGAACACATCCTGCACATCCTGCCAGGGCACGAAGCAATGAGGCCATCTAACCGACAAGAAGCAAACTTGATGGTATATTTTTCAAGGATCTCAGGTTAATAGAACCACTTCACACCCTGACAGACACTCTCATGAAAAACCTTCCACTGACCTCTGGCAAAGAGTCAGAAGACCCACCCCCGCAGCCTGAATCTCCCGTATTGGAAGAATGTGACCTCACGGAAGGGTGATGAGATGGTTAATGTCTCTAAAGCAACAAGGACATGATTCTCCTGTGCCAAGGGATATAGCAAGAGGAAGGAGAAAGCACAGGTGCACATTAGTGGCCCTTGGGTGCAGAGTATTTTGTTGTCCTGCTAACTGATAGTCATTCCTGGGCCTTTGATGTTTCAGTGAGCATCTAATGGATTATAAAATCTAAAAGATCATCACCTTGTAAACCTGAACAAATCTATAATGAAATGAAGGACCCAAAGGCATTTAATTATTGAACACATAAAAGGAAGTATATTTAAAAAAAAATTGGTCAAACTGTCCTGTTAGTTATCATTTTAAAGGAATTTACAGGGCTGTTATAGATTATTCTTTTGGAATAATTCAGTTTATAGCAAATGCCTAAACTGGTTTCTTCATTGCACAGTATATTCTCTTAAAATGGGTGCTTTAAAACAATTACATACATATTAAAAATCCTCATTTCTTTGCTTAATTAAAACGTTAATACTCTCAGACAACACAGATCTGAAATGGTGAAACCAGCAATTCCCCCTCCCACCTTACAACAAATTAAATTGAGACAAAATTACAAACACATTTCACTACATGATTGATTATTATTAATAAAAATCAGTTTCTTTTTGTTTGTTTTTTATAAAGTTGCCCGAAATGCAAGGGATGTGCATAGGTTTACAACTTAGTCATAATAGCATTTTATTCTTATTCCCCTGGGTGTGCCCCGTGAACGGAATGTACTTTGCTGTAGATTACAGATTGTTTTGTCCAACACAGACACACCGACAGCATAAACGCTCGCGACTGTCCACATGCATTAAGAGTCAAGACCCAACTTCAAATCTCTAAAAGGTTTACAGGGTGCTTCAAAGAGACAGTATCACATTATCTGGATGTTACATAAAGGACTTAAAAAAAATACTGTTCTAAAAAAAAAAAAGGAAAAAAAAGGCCTTTAAAAATTTATGAGTTTTGTAATCACTAGACTGATTATTTCAAATAAATAAAGGAAAGAAAGATATTCCAATCCATAAAATCAGACTCTAAAAAGAATGTAGTGTTCCAACCCCAGTCAAGGTAACAGAATCATTGTTTATTATTATTAAAATAGATTATAGAAAGCAGCATCTATTTTGTGCAGTTTTTAGGGGCCTTGGAAATAAAAAGCTATGATTTCCAAAAATATAACATTCCAAAGGATTGAATAATACATACATTTAAAGATACATTTTATTAAAGTTTAGGAGAACTGATTAAAAAAGATACTGTCTCTTTAAATTAGTGTGTAATTGTTTTTCTCCTCCTATCTATTCGGACATGACAATAATTATAAATGTAGGTCACACTACAACTAGGTAGTCTCTAGGGACCACGACCTGCTGACACAAGGCCGATAACAGAGGCTTTTCCATGTATGAGGTGGCTCCCAGTTATGCGGCAGATATCTGGGGAGAGGCCTAATAGACCCAGGAGACCGGGACCCACTGCGGGGCTGTGCACACGAGCTCCACGGCTTCCTCCAGATGTCTGATTGTCTCATCGATTTCATTGTTGATAATTGTGAGATCGAAGTAGTGTGCATATGTTCTCTGTAAGATGTCAGACTCCTTCTGCAGACGCTGAAGAGATTCATCCTAAATGGTGATGGGATGGAGGTAGGGATGGGTGTGGGAGGAGGGAAAAGCAAAGAGAAAAGTCAGCCGGATTTTTTTCTCATGTCACATTTCTGTCCGTCCCAATGTCAGAAACAGTCAGGGCCAGACCTTTATGTGCCACATCTGGGCGTGAGGCCAAGCCCGCTTCGTGACAGAGGAGATGACGGTCCCCGGGATGGCAGGGTCACAGAACTACGGCTTGCAACCACGACTGCTCACCATGCAACAGGGGGCTCCACGCCAAACCGGACGGACCAGAGGAAACAGACACTCTTCAGCAAACACATCACCCCACCCCGGCCAAGCAGTGTCTGCCCTGGGGTCAGTGGGGACAGGCTATCAGAGTCGAGCCGCTCTGTCCTCATTCCTCTGACCCAGGCCCGCCTCCCCTCAAGCCACTCTCCTGTTTGGCGGGGGGTGGGGGGGCTTCAGAGGACGGACGAGGTCAGAGCCCTCCATCCCCTTCCCTTGGTCCTCTGCACTTGCTTGCGCCAGGCCCCAGAGCCCATCTGTGTTTGCGCCAAGAAGCCCCTGCCTCTGGACAACAAATTAAGTTGTATTTTTCTCTATTCTACTTAGAGGTTCAATATGTTCCAGGAATTCAGTTACATATAATGGCCCTCACTCAACAGCAGTGGATGCCAGAGGCAAAGCTTTTTGGATGTTACAAATAATGGATGAAATAAGGCCATTTCCCAGATACAACAGCAGCTGGCATCCGATGAATCCCCTCTCATTGGTCTGCACTGGAAATGGCCAAATATCACTGTTCATAAGTACTTACATCTCTCATGGAAACAACTCTGAAGGAAAAGCAGCTACTGAACTCTTCGCGGCAGTTAAAGGCTTTCCCTCAACTCCTGCAGCGCACTACAAAGAGCCTCAGGATGGCAGTTCTTTCAAGATGGGGATCTCTTAAGGGCCACCAGAAAGTCTGCCTCTGCATCTTCACGGGTCAGATCTTGTTATGCTGAACTTTTAATGGGCAAGTTCAAATTTGAAACCAGGAAACTTTGTAAGTCAAAGTAACCGACTAGATAGCTGAGCTGTTGGGTGGAGTCTGAAATATATATACATATACATATACATATACATATATATATATATATATATATATATATATACACACACACACACACACACAATTAAATACCTGTTTATTTGATTAGTATCTCTCTCCCCAACTAGAGCTCAAACTTGCCTTGCTGTGCCCAGCACTTGGCATTGTGGCTTATACATAGTAAGTGCTTAATAAATGTTACTGAAAGAACAAGCACTTGGCTAATACTGGCCATTATACGATTTGATGAGTGTTAAATCTATAGTCAAGAGACAGAGAAAGTCTACTAGGAAATGGGGGCCCATGATGACAGAGACAGATCTCCAGAGAAACTAAAAGGTGCGGTGCCTTCAGGGACTTGGGAGCTGTTGGCACCCACTGCTGGCTTAGGAGCCCTCCTCTTCTCGGAGGCCCATCTGTTCGTAAGAGACTCTTCCTGATGAACCTCGGCCTGTGGGTGCAGCCCTCTGGCAAGGGGATTCGAGGTGAAATAATAACACTCGATTCCATCACAGCACCACAGTGGGGATGACAGACACCAGAAAAGTTGGGGACTCAATCTTTTCTATCAGGACACTCTGAGATGAGAGTGTCCTAACCTGCTTTGTCATCTACCGGAATTTCAAAGCAGGACGTGGCATGCTTTGAATGTTAGGTGTTAACTACTTCAGTGTAGATAAGACCTCAGTTAATCATCACCTTCTAAGGTCATATCAGCACACTTTCTGCTTGCACTTAAAAAGCATAGTATTTTCACTGTGGCTTTACAATAAACACAAAGCAAAAGCCCCATTTTAGGAAACATGCATTCACCCAAAGACAGGAGTGCTTCCTACCAGTATGAGAAGGAGCAATTCCTACCACGTCACTCTCCGGGCTAGGGGATTCTATTGGAATATACAGTCCTGGGTGGGCTTCAAGAACCACTAGCAGAGTTTATAATTTGCTCAGAAAGCTGGGCTGATGAAAACATTCAAGAAAATTTATGGCTGAGAGCATCAAATTTTTAATGCAGTTCTCGTCACACACACAAAAATAAAGCTCCCTCTTAAGGATCTTATAAGATGAAGCCATGTTTGTCAGTTTCTTCCTCTACAACAGCTTGTCTGCAGGCTTGACTTACACGTGAGCAGGGTTTAACTCAGTGAAAACAAAATGCCTTTATTCTAACAGCAAAAGCAAGGATTTGTGGGAACAAAATGTCTACATTCTAAATCTATGAAAGGAGACGAGGCTGTATTTCATCACCTCCTAGCTGGTACTTACAGGCAATTTTCTGCACCATTTTGGCAGCTATGGAAAATTAGTAAAAGGGCAGGAAAATAGGCAAAAACAAAAACAAAGATGATAATTCAAGAAAAATACATGGTAACCAAAGGATAAGAGCTAACCACAATGTGGCGTTTCAAACATGTTTGTGTATTAAATAAGATGGAGAAGTAGAATTTACCAAGGAATACATCTTTTGCAAATGAAATGGCGAAAAATGACTGAAAAATATGAGTGACATAGAAATCTAGTTCTTTAATCTTCCTTAAATCTAGATATTTAGTTTTCCTTAAAGTGAAAATCTCCAAGCCTTGATTTTACTGTCATAAGCTGGGGTGAGTCTAGGCCACCGTTAACTGAACAGTGCCAAGAGCGTCCTGGTGATTTCTAGACCCTGCAGAAGTGATGGCCTTCAGGAAAACTTTGTGTAGAGTTTCCTCTTAAGAACGACCCTACAGCAGATAAGCAGCAATATACTCACCAGACACTCCATAACTACCTTCTTATCTGCCCAGCAATAGAAGGCTGTGTAAGCCAGCCTGGTTCTAGATGGTGCTGCCGACCCTCGCAGGCACCATCTCTGTGGCGGCTGCTGACTTGAGTAGGCCTGAGAGGGGACAGAGCTCATTTCCAGGTTTGGTAGTCTCCAGCGGCCTGGGTAGAGATTCTGCACGGGTTCCACTCCGGAGGCTGCCTAGGGGAGTCTGGGCAGCCCAGCCAAGGAGGTGGATGCCTTATAGTTCTCCCCAGGCAAGGCAATTCTTGGCCCAGAGCTCTCAGCACAGTCGCTATCAGGGGAGGAGGGGCTGGCAGCCCCACAGGGCAGGAGCAGACCCATGGATAAGGCCATGGATAAGGCCCCCAGGGCGCGGACTGCACTGGAGACTAAAGCTTGCATTTGCCTAATGATTCTGATCTCAGAAGAACCACACCTCTCTGTGGTGTGTAATTCCTACTCCTGAAAGAGGACCTCAAGCTCTGGAAATCTTACTGGCCAGCATGGAAAACAAAGCAGAGCTTCATTTAGTTGTCTTAATGAGATAGGGCTTTGCTCTGGAATGCACAGCACAAATGCATCCTTACTCGGGGGGGAATGCTATTAGAGGAAAAACTGATTAATTCTTACCTCATTCAAACCTGGAGTGATAGTTGGTGCGGCAATAAAAACAACAAAAGGAGCAAACTCTGCAGTTCTCAGGACCTTCAGTGCCTGTGTTTAAAAAAAAAAAAAAAAAAGAAAACTGAGACTTAAAAGGAGAAATAACTAATGCAACATTCAGATGAGTTCACAGAAAATTATACAACTGGAAAAGCCCTTGATTCAAATTTTTGGCAAGATATTATTAAATTTACCAACTTTATAAATAACTTATATTACTTCTTTTCATCCAAAGGATGGAAAATAGCCACTGGCAAATAAAAGCTGACAAACTGGACGTTTTTCTTATGAATCTCATGAATCAATCCGACTTATTTTTCTTCAGAAAAGTGAACACTGATTATGTTGGTTAATGTTCATTTAAACCTGGTTATTAATTGTAGCCTGAATTTTAATTCCTAGGAAATGCATTTTGGGGTAGACTCAGACCAGCAGGGTGGCTTCAGCACTTATCCAGAGTGCACTACACCACATTTCAAATTTCAGATTGCTCATGAGGAGAGCAAATCATGGCCACTGTGACCGCGAGGGCTGTGTTCGCACTGACATAGGCCTTCTGAGTTGTCCTGAGGAAAGCCCTCTCCTCTGTGGGACTCATAGGGATGGCACACTCTGTCCAGGGATGGAGCCTGGAGCCACTATAGAAGCCGTATGGCTGTGGGCAATTTGTAGGCCCATGAGAAGATGCCGCATACAAGGGAGAGGGACCTCTGAGGCCCCTTTCAGTTCCATTCCAAGGTATCAGAAACCTCTAACTGCAAGCTACTAGTTTGCACAGACATACTGCAAAGCCAGTATCTGATGCTGTGGGAGTTGATTCTGATAAGGGGTTGCTGCTTCTGCTGCTCCCCTAGGACAGGACACCCCCAACCCCGCAACAAAACCCAACATAGGCACACAGTTCACAAATGACTGACATGTAATTAATTCGTATGCGTCAGGGGTAAATATTTTGCTGTCCTTTATATAAGAATTTAACATGTCTATTCTCTTAGCCACATAGTTTGCTTTGTAAATAGCCTTTCAATTGTTTGCTTTGCCCTATTCCTCCCTCTTGTGTCTGGTTTGCTGTAGTAGCAGTTTGGGTGCCCTGCCTCCAGTTTTGCTGCTTTCCAATCCTACTAAACCCTGCCACTAGAACAGTCTTTTGGAAATGCAAATCCCATTCCATCACACCTCCACTCCAAGCCCTTCAGGAGCTCCTTCTTGGCCTTGGGATAAAATGTACCCTCCTGAGCATAAATGTCAGATCCCTGCCTCATGAGCTGGCCCACGCTTACCTTTCTGTCTCTTCCCTTCCAATGGACTGGACCCGCCGAAGTATTTTCAGTTCCAGAAAGGGCCAGCCTTTGTCTTCCTACTCCCTCCGCCTGGACGTTCCATCCCCTCATCCCCCTCCCCACTTTCCCTATTGCTTGGCTGAGTGTTCTTTCTTCTGGAAAGTCCTTTATGAGCTCTGAGCCGAGTCAGGCGCCCTGCCGGTATGCTCCTGACACACCCACACTTAGGCACCTGTAGTGCCCGCCACCCTGGAAATGCAAGTGCCTGAATGCTGGCGGCTAAGCTTCCTGAGGGCAGGGGCTGCGTCTTGTTCGGTTGTCCTCCTCATGCCCCAGATGGCACCTGGCAGAAATAGTCTTTTGATCAAACAAAAATGTAAAAGCAGTACATATAATTCACACAAAGTCTATTTTGCCTTTTGAGGCAGGTTTGACTAGAGGGCACTGTGCTTTCATGGCTGAAGAGAATCTCTTGGCCTCTATGAATATAAAGGCATGTAAGAGGCAAATTGGTTGGTAAAGGTTTTGACTTTCCTGTTTAGTGCAAGATTCACTTTTCCTAGGATTATGTTTCTGAATTTTATTTTTTTACTTATTTATTTTTATTGGACTATACTTGCTTTACAATGTTGTCAGTTTCTGCCACACAGTGAAGTGAATCAGCTATATGTATACACACATCCCCTCCCCTTTCCCACATCCCACCCAACTAGGCCATCACAGAGCACCGAGCTGAGGTCCCTGTGCCATACAGCAGGTTCCCACTAGCTATCTGTTTTACACATGGTAGTGTATTTATGTCAAACCTAATCGCCCAGTTCATCCCACCCTCCCCCGCCACCATGTCCACACATCTGTTCTCTACGTCTGCCTTTCTATTCCTGCCCTGCAAATAGGTTCATCTGTAACGTTTTTCTAGATACCACATATATGCGTTAATATACGATATTTGTTTTTCTCTTTCTGACTTACTTCACTCTGTATGACAGACTCTAGGTCCCTCCACATCTCTACGAATGACCCAATTTCGTTTCTTTTTATGGCTGAGTAATATTCCATTGTATATATGTGCCACATCTTTCTTTATCCATTCATCTGTTGATGGACACTTAGGTTGCTTCCATGTCCTGGCTATTGTAAATAGAGCTGCAATGAACATTGTGGTACATGACTCTTTTTGAATTATGGTTTTCTCAGGGTATACGACCAGTAGGGGGAGTGCTGGGCCGTATGGTAGTTCTATTTTTAGCTTTTTAAGGAACCTCCATGCTGTTCTCCATAGTGGCTATATCCATTTACATTCCCACCAACAGTGCAAGAGGGTTCCCTTTTCTCCACACCCTCTCCAGCATTTACTGTTTGTAGATTTTTTGATGATGGCCATTCTGACTGGTGTGAGGTGATACCTCATTGTAGTTTTGATTTGCATTTCTCTAATGATTAGTGATGTTGAGCATCCTTTCATGTGTTTGTTGGCAATCTGTATGTCTTCTTTGGAGAAATGTCTGTTTAGGTCTTCTGCCCATTTTTGGATTGGGTTGTTTGATTTTTTTGATATTGAGCTGCATGAGCTGCTTGTAAATTCTGGAGATTAATCCTTTGTCCGTTGATTCGTTTGCAAATATTTTCTCCCATTCTGAGGGTTGTCTTTTCCTCTTGTTTAGTTACAGTTTCTCCTTGTGGGGTAAGGGAGCCTGGCACATTGTTTTACCTGCCCTCAAACTGCTTTAATTGTGAAAGTCACAGGCTCAGATTCCCCATGGGAGAGCTCTCCAAGCTTCTATATGTTCATTTTTGAAAGAGGCAATTGGCATTTCCTTGCAAATCCTTTTGTGACTGAAGATTTTAGCAAGGAACAACCGTCATGAAAAACTCTGTATATAGCTCAATTGAGCTTAACAGTGATCTTCACTTAGAACTGTCCTTTTTGTGAATATTATTTTGGGCCTTTTTCTATCCTTCCTGTGCTCATAATTCAGGTGACTCCAGGGTCAGTTGAGACATAAGGTTTCCTCATCATCCCACATCCACCCAGAGCCACCTTCTGGGCAACTTAGATGGGGAAAAAAAAAGTCCTAAGGCACAGTCCCTACCCTTGCTTCCATCGCTGAAGCTACTCTGAGTGCCAGATGGAAGTCCACACAGCCACAACCCACGGATGAAGTCGAGAATGCCACCCCAGTCGTGAAATGGTCTTTTCTCCACTCAATGACTGCAGCCTGATAGCCACCCAATTGTCTGAGTATTTTCAGTTCTAGCCTGCTATTCTATTCTACACCAGAAAACACACGACTCGGCAACCGTTAGCTCCCTGCGGATTACCCTTCTCTGCACGGCATTCACACCCTTAGTTTTTATCCACGAAAACACGAAGGTCATTCTGCACCTACTGCATGAGACTGTCCAGGAAGACTGTACTCACACCACCAAATGCCTCTTATGTCTAAGAATCAGGTTATGTTCTTTTAGTAATTAACTCCAAGGAAAGAACTGACATACTTCTATTAGATGAGAATTATGTGATCCGTGACATTCTCCTCTTTGTACTGGTTGCCAGGAAGTTCAGAGCCAAATTTCACGTTTATCACAGTAACTAACTACAGTAGTCTCTGTGGTTAGTACTGAGTATATTTGCTTCCTCCTCCTTTTCATGGCTTTGAGTTTCTCTCCTATATTATTGTACTTTCAAAGATTATAAGATGCCTAGAATCCTGACTGAGATGTTCTTGCCTAGTCTCCCTCTTATCTTCAGCAGAGTCACCACACATGTCCTCATTTTTTTCTCGAAGGCCTCTGTCCCCATACTCTGCTCTACTTATGGGTCTCAAGTGGGGGCCAGTTTTTTTGGTGTGTGTGTGCATGTGCAGACTCAGCTTGCCTGAAGTTCAGGAACAGGAAATGGAATTGCTTCACAAGGATTCCCCTCCCTCAGGCCACTAATAGGTAGGCTTTAAGATGATCTCTAAAACCTCTTCCTTTTTGACTTTTAAGATGAGACACAAATTTGTTAATATTTACAGGCAAATATCTCTTTCTGGATCCCAGAGAGGGGAGAGAGAGTCTAGAAAGATCACTGAAAATACACTGGGTTCAAACAGCCAAAGAAGCATTAATTTAACATTTAAAGTTCTCTTTTGGAGATAAATTGATTTAATGGCTCATCTATGGCCAATAATTGTCAGGTTACTACCCTCAAGGAATAAAAACTCATTTGACCAAGTATCTAAGAAGCAGACATCTTTAAGACTTATCTGTTTTTTTGCAAAATTAAAAAGGGCAAGCATCTGAGTCATTTTGCACAAAGGTCTAAGGGCTTAAGGAAGAACACAGTGACCCCAGAAACAATCTTAAGAGAGCCAACTGACTTCACAAAACAGCCTCTAGCTCAAAACATGGCTGTTGTTTCCAAGCACAGATTCCTAACCAGACTGTACCTACCCCTTGATGACAACCTTTCCCTCTGGGGGCAGAAGCAAAGCCACAAATATTCTGCTACTGTCAACTCTTTAATGCTGCAAATGGACAAATCAGAATAAAATTAAAATCTAAAACTGTTTTGATTACACACTAGAGGTATTATAGTTCCAGCTTTAGGGACATAGATTATTTTCTGAGCCATGGCTTTATGAGAAGTCAGCTCTATAGCTTTCCTCAGGTTTGACCGCCTTACAGATTTTTCTAAATGTTAAAATAAAGATTTAAATTGTACTACTACATACATACAAGGCACACCAACTTAAGGATTAAACAGGGTTAACTCTTCTAGGATGG